TTCATCCCCGCACCCCCCATTAAATAATTTTGATTAAATTCTAATATTTTATTTTACATAAACTTGTGTTTTTAACCTATTTTACTTTAGGTTAAATTTCATTCAAGTTATTATTTATTGGTTTAATTGTGCACATATTTGATAAACAATTGTGGTTTATTTTTTATAAGTTATTACTTTCTGATTCACAATATTATTTCTTTTATGTACTTTCTTAATGTATTTTATTTAATTTGTAATCTGTTAAAGTATCTTTTATTTATATTAAACTGATTTATGTAGTTTAGTTCTAAACTATCTTACATTTATATTTTAAAGTTTTGTTTGATAGATTTTAACTTGATGTAGTTTCGACCATTTTTATCATGAATTAGAGATATATATTTAAATTTATTTACATGTCTTGAATTTAACTAAATTTTCGCTTCATAATTGTAACCTTTTTTTAAATTTTATTTTAACATTTTCGAATAAAATGAATAATTTCTATGAGTAGTTATGTGTTTTAAAGTTTGTTTTACAGTACTTCCTTAATTTACATATTAAGCATATATTTTGTATACCGTCTTTTCAACATTATCATCACCATCAGCGTCATCATCATCCTCATCATCAACAAGATCATCTTCGCGATCACTATTGTAACCATTGTAACCAAAACTCTGATTATACCCTGAAAAATACCAGGATTTTTGGGTCGTAGTATACCTATAACGTATTGCTCCACTACCAGTACACGATGTAAATTAATATATTTTTTTTCAACAATAAGCAACAATAGCTTTTTATTTTATTTTGTTTCAAACTATACAGATCATCATATAAATTACAAATTCATGTATTAAGTGTTCGTTTATCAAACGCTCTTCCAGGAATTCCTTCAAATACCTCGCGTTGTGATGCTGGATTACTGAAATAACGTTTCCCATTGTAGAATAAGAAGTAACATTATTTGGTTTGATCAAATTTTGCATGAAAACAAATACCAGTATTTAGATTACCTGGTTCGCTATCTAGTCCTACAAGAACATCGAAAAATATTTTCCTGTTAGTTTTCCCATTGCGATTTTCATCTGACTCTGGACCGAATTTAATTTTATTGTAAAGTTAACCAGCATAGTTCCTGTCGGTATTTAATACACCATTTGACGGATGAGAAAAGAAACATCCTGGACAAGTGTGTGTATATATACACATAATTCACACATATCGTCTTTGACAGAATGTGTTGTATAGATACAAAGTTGCTATTAGGCTTAACGCTATCCCTAACGAAACGTTCATTAGAGGAATTTCTGCTATCGATTTGTGTTGAGTATACGATTGATCGAAATTGTTCTGGAAAAAATGTACATATAGGCCTATAGATTTGGAAACAGATTTAATTTCTTAAGTATTGATTGTTAATAATACTGTATATAGACACGAGTTAAATGTTTTTATCAATGATTGTAAATACAAAAAAGTGACTTACCCAGCCTCCTTGGATATTAATCCATTCCAAAAAATTCCGTCTTCACGTGTTTGTCTACACTCTGTATTACATGATCAATCAAATCAGTTTTATTTCTATCTTTACATAAAACAGCTAACCTCGCTCCAAACACCAAAAAAAAAACTATAATTATACGGCCCAAGTTTATGATATTATCGCTGAACATTTCTGTTAAAATGTCTTTGAAAAACGTCTCGATATTCTCATTTGAATCAAGCAAAACTTCCCTAGTTAATTTATAAAGATGTTCTTTGTGCATTTCATACATCTTTTCGCAAAATTTTTAAATATTACTGTTCATAACCTCTATATATTCCAATGCCTATTTTATATGCCACAAACTCTGAATTTATTTCTCGTGCAACTCGTTCAGTTTCAATGTTCATGTTTTTTTTTTAAACAAAATTATGTTTCAACTTTGAACACGATCTTCGAGGATAGGTATTACGTAAATGTCCCGAAGCTACGTCATCAGCCTATTCAGGTTTACCCGGTCAATTCAAACCAACAAGTCACTGAATTTTTAAGTCACTGCAATCTCTCATCCAATGGAATTCATTCTTATTATGAAGTACCTACCCTGTGTCACAAACAATTAATCCTATTAATGACACCGCGCATCCTATTGTTTTATTTAAATACACTCCTATTGTTTAATTCTATTGTTTAATTAAGTCCCTTTGAAACAGACACAGTGATTCTAAAATCTAAAAACCTTTTAACACCTTCAATCTTTTTTATATTTTAATTAAACCTTTTAACACCTTCAATTACAGCATATTATCTCGGATAATCTCCAGCCTTTTAACACCTTTAATTACACTTGGCTCATTTAGTGAGAGAGCAGCTTAGCTCAGTCGGCTAATCTGGTGGTAGCCACTGTATGTGC